ATGTCTCGTAATGAGTTATGTATTTCTGACCAAAAGCTTTGAATTTTTGGGCAGTCCCAAAAGACATGGTGGTGATTTGCCCTTTGCTGACCACATTGTCTACTGTAGACAGGGGATGTATCACTTAATTTAGATTTCTGGGATGGGGTAATAAAATATTGAATAAAGTTCTTCCAGTTAAATTCCTGCCAGTTCATTGAACAGGAGCATTTCCATTGATATTGCCGTATTCTTTTCCACTTCATCTGATATTTCACTACCTGTTTCCGTTTCCCATTTTTTCTTTAATATATGCTGTGGAGTGAGTGTTGTTCTGAGACAAGCAGTTATATGTGGCTGATATAATACCTTTACTCGGGTTGTGAATTATATACATTTCTACACAGAGGCCTGGGAGCTTGAGGGTTCTGCGCAGTATCTTTGCTGTTCCTAGAACTGCACATTTGTGGACCGAAATGTCTGATGTATTTCCAGGGATCTGCAGTAACCACTTCTCAGGTTTGGGGGTCACTGCCCCAAGGACCACGGGTACCACTGATGCCTTGACCTCCCAGGTTTTCTCCAGCTCTTCTCTGAGCCCCTGCTATTTCTCTAGTTTCTTATGTTTCTTTTTCCTAATGTTGCAGTCACTTGGTATTGCTATGTCAACCACAACGGCTTTCCTCTGCTTTTTGTCCACCACCACAATGTTTGGTTGGTTTGTCATTACCATTGGGTCCATGTGAATGAAGTCCCACAGGATCTTGGCTCAGTCAACCATCTGTGGAAGTGTGGATGGCTGGGAGCAGATGTTTATAGATGTTGGCGATCAGCCTGTTTTTCTTACTGTACTCCTGTTTCTCTGAATGTGACTGTCTCTGAATGTCTGACACGTGAGCTGGCTCAGAGCTCGTCTGCCTGGCTCTGTGTTTCCTGGATGGGGCCGTCTTTTACAGTTGTTTTTTTTGTATTTCTGCTTCTTTCTTTATTCCTGCTTCTGTCTCCTTGACACCCAGTTGGCCTCAGCAGATGGCCGCTCACACTGAGCCTAGTTCTGCTGGAGGTTTCTTCCTGTTAAGAGGGAGACTTTCTCTCCACTGTCGCTGCAAGCATGTTTGGTGTGAGGGATTGCTGTTGAGTCAATGGAATCAGCTGGTTTTCGCTTGTTAGAATACTTTGAACCAATCTGAACGGATCTGCTTGTTCTGTCTCTGGGGAATTGACCATAATTTCCTGAATAAATAAATGTCAAAACAACCCCCACTTCCCCCAGAATGGTTTGGACTTTTAGAAAAAAAAGTCTTTAGTTTAAGATTCTCATAATACATTTTTTAGCACCAACATCTATTTTATTCTGCTGTATCAGTGATTCTCACTTCAGCTTATGACCACAACATTGGGTCAATCAGATCCATTCATGGTTACTTTTGACAGATGCTCCTACATCCAATAAGGACCTTGTCAGTTTTTAATCACAGTTCGACTCCTTTATGCTTTTACTTTACCTTCCCTCCTAAAATTCCTGCCTATTTTTCAAAAGCTCTTCCTCTTTTCTTATAGAAAAAAAACACAAATGTCACACACATCTGTGAAGAAATATATTTTCAGAGAGAAAGAAGTCATTAAGTCTGTCCTCTTTGGACAAAAACAGATCAATACGACAGAAGAAGACTCATCAGCGGTAGATAACAGTACATCAGATCAATAATACAGCTTTTATGCACATTTAGTTTCCATAAATGCACTTGTATAGCTTAGTTTCAATCATGCAGAAACACTTTACAGACTGTAGCTTTCACAGACATGCAGCTTTCATCATAACGACAAATTAAAAAGACAGGAAGATAAATGCTGAGAGGGCGAAACAGGAAATCAGAGAAGATATTTAAGACTGGTAGCTGACATAATACCAGCCTTTCTTTTTCTCTTGAAAATGAACTTGCAAAGAAGAAGAAAAAAAAACAAGTGAGAGAAAATATAATAAAAAATAGGCCTAAACAAGATATTTATTTCTGTGGTTATCAGACATCAACATGCATTAATAGCACCTTCACATTTGATTAAAAACTGTGAATAAATCCAGGAGAAACTCGATCGCTGTAGAAGCTGTACATAGATCATGTTCAGATGCAAATCTGTGACCACTGTGACTTGATAATAGCTGAATTCACACAGAGGCTGACCTAATTCAAAACAGAATATTTGCTTGTTGGATGCTGTACTTCTTTTAACAGATCAGGAGGAGAAGATTTATTTGACAAGGCTGGACAAATATTTTATGTATTTAATAAATCTAGCCAAATATCTGCAGAGGCAATTTACTGTGGGATTTAAAAAATCCTGAAAACATTCCAGTTTCTCCAAAAAGTAACATTAGGGGCGGATTTAAGAAATTTGGGGCCCTAGGCAAAGGCAGGCAGGGGGCCCTCTGAATTAAGAAGACAACAGCAATCCCAGCCGGCCTCAGCAGATGGCCGCTCACACTAAGCCTGATTCTGCTGGAGGTTTCTCCGTGTTAAAATGGAGTTTTTCCTCTCCACTGTCGCTACAATCATGCTTAAGAGAAATATCAGCTTCCCTGCTGCCATCAGCACCTTTGTTTATAGATGTTGGAGATCAGCCTGTTTTTCAGTGTATTCCTATTTTTCTGACTGTGACTGGCTGGATGTGCTCTCTTCATCCTCTGACATGGGAGCTGGCTGAGTGTTTCCTGCACGGGGCCGCCTTTTACAGCTGCATTATGTATTATGGCTTCTGTCTCCTTGAACCCCAGTTGGCCTCGGCAGATTGCAGCTCACACTGAGCCTGGTTCTGCTGGAGGTTTCCTCCTGTTAAAACTGAGTTTTTCCTCTCCACTGTCGCTACAAGCATGCTTAGTGTGAGGGATTGCCTTCGAGTCAATGAGTCGATGCAATCAGCTGGTTTTCCTTAGATAGAAAATATTGAATCAATTTGTAATATCTGGTGAACTGTGAAGTGCCTTGAGATGACATAAATTGAATTAGGTTTTCATTCTTCCTTTTTTTGATAAAAATCAATACACAGAAATAAATAATTAAAAGAATACAAAAACCACATATCCACTGTTATGTATGTTGCAATTTCCCGGCTAAAAAGAAATAGCATGATGCATAAATCATTAACCAACAGGTAAAGGAAGCTAATCTGGGTTCAAATCAGTTCCAAATATCTTTGAGACCACTGAAAGTTACCAGCTCCCCTAAATCCAGATGTTTTCTCCACAGCTGCCCGACTTGGAGCAGGCTGATATGTAGCAGCTGATCAGGGGTCATGTTGTGCAAAGATGAGTCACCTTTAAAACTGTGCTTCTTTTCGCCTAACCTACCATTATATCACAAGGATATGTTCATGATTTGTTGTTAATAGCTAAGCTCAGCTAAAAACCACAGGATGGGTGGAGGATCAGCCCCCCACAGCCCTGAGGCCTTCTTCACTTTCCTACAGACTCACAGGGACTTAACCTCCCACTACCATTAACAAAAACTGATAATAAGTTTGCAGAACATCTGGATAAAAAGCAGGAGTTTCATTTTATATAAATAAGCAAAAGACTGTAAGACAGAAGGTGCTTTAATTCTTAGAAAATGGCATTCAGATAAACTGTGAACACATTCCTGAGATTTAAGCTGTTTCATTCATTAGCACGCAAAGCTGTTTTATCCAAACTCAGAAAGGAACGCTATAGACCGGAGGTAAAAAAAGTAGAAACTTCATATTTAAATATAAGGAATGCTAAACTGGGAATGCAAAAGAAAAAAGGTGCAATTAGTGGGTGCATTCCAGGTGATCTGATTGTGTGCAATGGACATGCAAAACTGGTTTGGTTCCACCCCATTAATATAAATAAATTGCTGTGGCTGCTGGCAGTTTGGGATTAAACAAAGATAAAGATCTCTAAACCATGGGGTAGGAGGTAAACATCATTACCCCAAACAATGATGGCTAAATGCTGTTCATAGCGCACTGAAGAAGTAAATATTTTGATGTGCTTTAAAGGGATAGTTCGGTATTTTTGACATGAATCTGTATGGCATCCCCATCACCAGCGGCATGCAATCACACTGACTTACCCCTGGCAGCGTCCTGTGAGCAGAGTTATCGTCTAGTTTTGGTCAAGCCGAAAGTAGTCCTGCAGGTTTTTAGGAACAGCGAAATAAAACGTTTCTCTTCCCAAAACATTATGTGTTCAAAAGAGTGATATTTTCGCATCCCAAAAACATTGTAGTGGAAAAAGTCACACGTCGTTATCAATTGGTCCTATTTTCTCTCTGTTCGTATCAGTGCGCGCCGTCATTCAGACAGCGAGCCCAACAACAGCTATGTCTCCTTCCGCGGCGGAGCGATAATGTTTTGGGAAGAGAAAAGTTTTATTTCGCTGTTCCTAAAAACCTGCAGGACTACTTTCAGCTTGACCAAAACTGGACGATAACTCTGCTCACAGGACGCTGCCAGGGGTAAGTCAGTGTGATTGCATGCCGCTGGTGATGGGGATGCCATACAGATTCATGTCAAAAATACCGAACTATCCCTTTAAACTACCTTAAAAAAGCAACAAGATGAAAACAATAAGTTACATTTAACAGATTAATTACCTAAACCAGGAAAAGCCCCCCCAACCCATAGAAATTAAGAGAAGGTGCGACGCTCAGACTTACACGATGAGTTGGATTTGCTTCAAACAAGTCCTTAAACAACCTCCTGACCAAAAATATTGCAATAATGTAATTATAAGTACAGTATTGGTCATTATGGTTTAATAAAAGCAATTCCCTGTCACGACATGTAAGGAAATCACACATTTTGTATTTGCATATGCTCCTTCCAGTATTATGCACAGTCTGCTAAGCAAGATATAAAAGCAGACACAAAGAAATGTTTGAGCCCACTCTTCTGCTAATTTTACACAAGCAGTATTTATAGCACCCGGTCTGGAGATTATTTTTGCACAAGCTACTCAGTTTGCACATGTTTTAAACAAGCAAACCTTTTTAAAATCACACCTTAATTCAAAATGATCCATTTCAGTTGAGAAATCTTTTAGCAGTAGTTATCCTGAGAAAAAATAAGTGAGATTTATTTGGTGCTAAATTCACACAATAGCACTGCTTTGCCTTGTTGACATGAATTAGAGGAAAAACTAAATTAAAGTATAAAAGTGAACGGTGCAGATCTAGGAGGATTTGACTAATAAGCAGCAAGAACAGCATGCAGCTCTGATTTTAGAAAAGTCACACGCTGAAAATACATTCAATTCAAAAGAAATGTTTTTAGAGAGTTCATGCAACACCAGCACTGCATGCAGACTGCACGTGTAACACAAATTCATTTTTCATCACTTAAACATGTTTATATGCAGAAAGATAAATGGGATAAAAAAAAATGCATTTTCTTTCAAATACTTATAAAATAATTCAGTCTGGTAGGAACAAAATAAAAAAAATATTTCTCTGCATCTGAATCAAATATACAAGAGAAACTGGTAATAAATCAGATCTAAAATTACAATAAATTGACACAGTTTAGAGCTAGCTCGGGTTGGTCCTCCTGCGTTTGTTGGGGCTTTGTCCGGGATCCATCTTCAGATCATAATACTGCATCTGTCCAATTAGACGGATAACAATATACTTTAAACCATAACAACACGTTCCACTTGTTTCATGGCAGCTTTACTCACCATTTGAACATCAGACGGGACTCTGGACAGGAAGTCAAGAAGCTCGTTGTTATCGATCCTGTATGGATCGCGAAGCTTTTTGGTGAACTTATTCACACCTGTTGATTAGACATATACTTTGGTAAATCTGTTGTAATTACGTTTGATAAAGCTATGTTTTAAATCAAGGGAAATTTTAAACAAATTCGCTGATTTTGTTTTATTACACTGCCTAAGGCCGAAAAAAATAATAATACAGCTCAGAAAATGCACTGGGGCTTAGTTTAACTTGAAAATCAGCAGTTTCAATATATTTTCTAGATTTTTATGTTATTTTAGGTTTCTAAATGCTACATTTTGTTATTTCCATTGATTCTGAAAAAAAGTGGAAAATACTTGCTTCATAAATGAGATTTGGAGACATTTTCCTTGCCTTAAATGCTTCTTTTTCCTATGCTGATTGTTATGACTTAACTGTTGCTTAGAAAAGTGTTTCTGCCTGCCTGCATAGATCTACACACTAGCTGCTACCCCTCTATCCTCCCTTCAGTGTGGAGGCAAACCCACTTTCAGCAAATGACCAGCATCTAAAGGGATAGAGTGAAAAAATTAGCCGTTTATTATTGTCAAATGTAACATGGCCAAAACTGGTGTGCCTCTGTGATTTCAAAACAGTTTTATTCTACAAAGAAATGCCTTTTATTTTCCAGCATTACTGGAAAGGAGGCTTTTGTAACTGGGTTGATAGTACACTTACAGACACTGTCCATTTGCAATAATGAAAGAAAATGACAAAACAGTCATTACTCACCCCATGCGAGCACAAGGTATCGTAGTGGTATGAGGTAGAGCAGAAATGTGGCCAAACATAAGGCAGCGATCGCCAACGAGCTCAGAAAAGGCACTGTCCAGTTAAAGGTGCTGCAGTACAGGGAGGGGAGAAAGAAAAGGAGCAATAATTAATGTTTAAACTTAGACACTCCGCAGGTTTGATCCATATGGAAAATGATTAGTAGCTATGTTTAACTGTCAAGTTTCAAATATAAATAATTTCAGACTTTCATGTCAATATCCATTTAATTGAGACTTGAAGGCGGTTTAATGGCCCTGAAATACTTTTTACATGTTTCTGTTAAATCCAGCATAGAATTTAAAATCCTCCTTCTCACATATAAAGCCTTAAATGGCCAAGCTCCATCTGATATCAGAGATCTGATTGTTCCTTATGTTCCTAACAGAGCACTTCTCTCTCAATCTGCAGGTTTACTAGTGGTTCCTAGAATTTCTAAAAGTAGAATGGGAGGCAGATCTTTTAGTTATCAGGCTCCTCTCCTGTGGAACCAACTACCAGTTTTAGTCCGTGAGGCAGACACCCTGTCTACTTTTAAGGCTAGGCTTAAAACTTTCCTCTTTGATAAAGCTTATAGTTAGAGTGGCTCAGGTTATCCTGAGCTATCTCTATAGTTATGCTGCTATAGGCTTAGACTGCTGGAGGACATAGGGACCCGTTTTTCATCCTTCTGCTTCATTCTCTCTCTCCAGAATCTGATACTTCAATCTCTAACGTTCTGCTCTCTCTGCTTTTTCTCATAGTAGCTTCATCTGATCTGCTCCTGTTTGGCTCTGACTCCATCCTGGAGAGAAATATCATCTGTGCTGCTGCCATCAACACCTTTGTTTATAGATGTTCAGCCTTTTTGCCGTGTAGTCCTGTTTCTCTGACTGACTGGCTGGATGTGCTCTCTTCATCCTCTGACATGTAAGCTGGCTCGGAGCTTGTCTGCCTGGCTGTGTGTTTCCTGGACGGGGCCACCTTTAATAGCTGCTTTTTGTGTCTCTGCTTCTGTCTCCTTGAACCCAAGTCAGCCTCAGCAGATGGCCGCTCACACTGAGCCTGGTTCTGCTGGAGGTTTCCTCCTGTTAAAAGGGAGTTTTTCCTCTCCACTGTCGCAACAAGCATGCTTAGTGTGAAGAATTGACTTTGAGTCAATGAGTCAATGCAATCAACTGGTTTTCCTTAGAGAGAAAACTTTGAATCAATCCAACTGTATGATTTGGTGAACTGTAAAGTGCCTTGAGATGACATGAGTTGTGAATTGACGCGATAGAAGTAAACTGAATTGAACTGAGTTCAAATTGGAGCTTATAAATCACCTCTGACACGGAGCCCAGAAGGATTTAAAGGTATCTTTAGCATATCAGAGAAAGAAAAGCAAAGAGACTTAGAATAGGTGAACCATGAATCTCTTTCAAACCATCTCTGTGGGTTGTTGTTGATCTACTCAGCTGTTTGGTTCTAAACGCTTCAGACCTTGCAATCAATTTAAGGGTCACACACATTAAAAACTGAAGAACACCTACTTCTTTAACCTCTCTCCAAACGATGCTACTTCATCCAGGGCACTCTGCACACTGATGAACACCTCCTGGATGGCGTAGAGTTTATCCATGAAGCCTTTGTGCTCTGAGTCCTGATGGTATAAAGGATTAAATATCAAATGTTGGGTCTTTGAAGCTGATTTTATAAGCCTAGATGAGCCAGTATGGAGGGTTAGAACCTGACTGTTGACTTAGTGGGAATAAAACTGAAATGATATATAGGTGCCTTACAGTAATTCAGAACACTTTAGAAAAGCTTATTCCAGGAATGACATGAAATGGGTATTTATATTAGACGGGTTAGTTATACACAGTGATTTACTGCATGTTTATTTGCATTAATTTAGATGGCGGTGTATTCAAATAAAGGAAAACCCAAAGTTGTGTTTCTCAGGGAATTAGAATAAAAGAAAAGGCAAATTATAAAAACAGGTACTGTAAACTTCAAATTAATATTTCCAATTACAGAAACAAATATTCAAAGTTTACCAGTGTCATTGATACAAGTATACCAGAAGTTTACTAAAATATATATTTCATTAATTATGCAAAATTTAATTTTGAATTCTGAATTAGATTCAGCTTAATAAAACAAAACTCAACAGAGCTCCAACCACTTACGTTTGCCGTTTATACTTATCTTAAATACTTTGTACTGATTATATTGTTACAGATTCTAGTTAAGCCCAATTCAAACTTAACTACCAGAAGGTTGTGGAGACTTTATTAAATTAATAGGATCTTTTCAATGGTGTTGGCCAATTATATGAGGGAAAATATTGTGACCAGCTGAGTCTGTTTTATTTTAACATTTGTATCTGACTCAGCTGAAGAATCCCAGACTTTTTTAATCAAAAAAGAACCTTTTGTTTTCATTATGAAATGATTATGGGATATTGTTGTTCACATCATTAATTATGTCATAAATTCTCCTGTGTGAGTTTCTGTGAATGGTTGTTTGTCCTGTTTGTCTCTGTGTTGCCCTGCGATGGACTGGGGACCTGTCCAGGGTGGAACCCGCCTTGCATGGGGTAAAGCGTGATGGATGGAAAAATGGATGGATGAATCATTTAGTAAACAAAAAGGTACATTTCAGTGTGCTTCAATACTTTTATAAACTGTATGCAGATTTGAAAGTTTCTTTTTAAGTAAATTAGGTGGAAGACTACATGAAGTGTATGTGAAAGTGTACTTTTTATATATCGAAAACAGACCGTTTATGAAGAGTGAAATAAAAGTATACCTGGAATGCTATTTTTCAAAAAAAAAAAAAAAAAAAAATGTCCCAGTTTGTGGTAAACTTCTAGTATTGTTACATCAGTAAATTGTACCTCAGTTATTTTTGCTGATATACTTTTGTCAATATTTAACATTTATATCTTAATCATGTTTTACAGAACAGCTGCAAGTAGATTTGCTGCTTTTGAAGGTATAGCGGACGATTTTTTATTTACAGATGGATCATGTAAATAAGTGGTCCTCCTTATTGTCAATGATTCTGGTGATATGTTTAGGTAAGGCTGTCCTATGTTAGCTATCTTTTTCTGCACGTGCGCACTTTCAGGCGTATATCTGTGCTGAGCTACGGTTTCAGACAGCCATTGAAGCTCACCTTTCTCACCACAGTTCTTTGAAAATGGCCAAGGGTCGTTAGAGGAAAGGTGTATGTGAAGTGTATGAGAAGAAAAGAAAGGCCTCAGAAGAGGCGGATATATCCCAGAATGCTTTGCACTGAGAGCTCTCTTGCAAAGCAAATTACAAATTTGCTACTAAAAATTAGCTGCTGTCAGCCTGGGTTGCTGCTGCTGCTACTTTTAGACACAGCAGGCAAACCTGTGGCAAGCCGAGCGATGGGAAAGAAGGAGAAGATGATGAGAAAAAGAGAGCAGAGAAAGTGAGGACTGCTGGAAGAACTGTGTTGAACTGGTGAAAGAAAAGTGAAATGGTGCTCAAAGATGACCCTGCACATTTAGAGGATGTTTGGCTCAACCTGCTGCTGTGAAGCAGGATTCTCCATCATGAACAGAATCAAAAATAAATCTGGATCCAGGCTCAAAATGAGCTCCTTGATATGTGCTTTAGAATGGCTTAGTCTCCATTTAAACCAGGTTTAAAGCCTTGCAGGGCAGAATAAAGCCCACTGCCAACATTAAGACAGAACAAAGAAAGAAGAAAAAAAACAACTGTTTTTTATAAAAAATAAAAAAAAGTGAGTCAGGAAATTTTCTATATACCAAACTGAAAGATTGTTGTTCTCTACTTCAAAAACAATTTCGATTTTAAAATGGAAGAACGTTCTATTTTTTATCTAAACATTGTATAACATGTGTAACATGGATGCATAAACACCTGCATTTTATTTCAGTGTTAAATGCTGTGTAAAGCAATGGATTATAATTAAGAATGTCTACGGACCGTTACTTTTCTTTATTAGGACCCCGCTGATTTTTAATTGGTTACCCCTGCTTTATACACTGCATTCAGGACATATATAGCTCAGTGTTGTTCTTGGGGCTGCTGTGATTGCAATGTAATCAACTAGCTACACTACATGACGTCCTGAGCCCTTAGATACGAACCTTTTCTTCTTTGTCTTCTTCTTCATCCTCGCAATCAAACATGGTCTCCATGGACTGAAGAACAGAGACAAAGAACTTCAAAATAAGAACGATCTTTCAAAACATATACCTAAGCACAGAAGCGCATAATTTCTCACCGCCTCAGACATTTCTCTGCTTGATGAGAAGAAGTAGTTCCAGACCAGCAGCAGAACGAGGCCGAGGGGCAGCATGTAGAGCTCAAAGTTCCACACCACCACCACAAACAGCTGCGCAGAAGAAAACAGTCATAAAGGGGAAAGCAGCAGCCGGTTTGTGTTTAAAGGTGCATGTTTGCTCTTCATACAATAAATGCAATGATGCTCCTTTGTGACGACTCCCACTCAAAGCAGGTGTTGATGTAGGTACCGTAGCTGAGGAGGACCATGATGCACCGCTTCACTCGGTTAAAGTTCTGCTGCAGCAACTTAAACACACAAAGGTACACAATGCTTAATGCAGACATGACACAACGGCCTGAGCAGAAGAAGTCATAAGGAATGTGTGCTTTTAACTGGTTCTGTGTCATAAACCATAAAAATAACTTGGGATATTGCTTTATGTTAAGCATAACTATTGATTTAGGAGGATTAAGGTTTGCCTGCTCTTCGGACATAATCTACACAAGTCTTTCTAAAAAAAGTAAAAAAAAAAACAACAATCCAATGGACTTTGAAGATGTTTCACTTCCCATCCAGGAAGGTTTTTCAATTTAAAATAGGTGGTTTGAGAGGGGCGTGAAGGAAGCCATCTATGTTAAGAAAGAAAAACCAACATTAAAGAGAGAGGGGGGTGGACTCAGATTCCAGCTTTCAAAAACTTATAATGCAGCAATTCAGTTGATCTCTTGCTGCTATCACCGCAACCCCACCCCTTTACAGCAGAGCAGAATACCTTGCCTATTCAACCAGGCCAACAATTCCCTTTAATGACCCGTTTCAGAGACATAGACAGGTATGGGGCATTGCAGGCGAACAAAGAACCCAGACGACCCCCATTGCAAAGGGGTGAACTTGTTCGTCTGTTTCAATTTGCATGTTTTTTAAACAAAAACAAGGCTTTGTTGGGCTACCGTATATAACTTGAACTCAACGCTATTCCTGACATTTTGAATTAGAAAAAGCTTGCTGGATGAGAAGCGGAACGTGAGATAAAGGGTACATTATCAAGGAAAAGCTTCGTCAGATCAACCAAATAGTTGGTTTTCAATACATCTTTACAAGCTGTTCACACAGAAATAAGGTTCTAACAAAAACACTGCAGTTTATGGACATTTTATATATAGGGTATCTAGCTGTTTGCATTCATTCGGTTTGTTTTTCTTGATGTTCTGACATGAGGCTCTGGGGAGGATCCATTAGAACTAATGCTACGTTCTGACCGCAAGCAACAGAAGCAGCAGAAGTGCACGGTAATCAAGTGGGTCTGATGCGTGTTGGGCTGAGTTACCCTATCCTTTCTTTGCCGTTTCTCAATGTATGTACTTGTGCGTTCTTAATGTGTTCATGAAATGTCATCAGGACCAGCACAAGAACACAAGACAGAGAGTGTGTTCGATTTCAGAGGTTGTGTCCTCCTAAGGAGGGGGTCTAAAAGGACTGGGTCCTTCGAGGTCGCGTAAAATAAGGAGGCTGGAGGAAACAGGTCCAGCCTTCTATCTCCTCCTGTAGGTTCTGTCACCTAGCAACCGTAACAGTTGATACACAAAACAGGATGCTGAACTTCTCACTACTGTTCTGGGTGCTAATAATATTTTTGGAGAAGCTTCAGCAGCACTACTGTTGCTGCATATATCATATTTATAGTCCCCACACTGCACAGATATTAAAAACTTTCAATAAACCAAACATTACCCGCCACATGAATCAATAACATTTAAAACAACTATTTTCATTAATTTCAAACGGAACTATTTACATACTTGTATTATATTAAACTGAACTTACAATATTCAATGTTCTGCGCCAATTACATGTTTCCTCTGAGTAAGGAGCAGCCGGCTTGCTTGGACTCGCATTGATTAACGGGATACAAAAGGCTACATAGGATACACCGAACCCCTCCGGGCAAAAAAAAAGGCTGCATTTGTTAGCCACATAACGAGGAGCCCAATCCGAACAGGCCTTGGCGCTGCGCTGTGACGCAATTGGCTGTCGAATGTTAGACTCAGACAAACTTAGGGCCGGATCTATCAAAGGTTTGCGTGTATAAAAACGTGAGCTATTTCACTGCGCGCGCTAAAAAATTTACAAACTGATCTATCAACAGCGTGCTAAAAGGATTTGGTCTTTAAAACGTGCTAAATAGCGCCTCTTATCCATTTAGTACTTTTTCTGCAATGAATATGCAATATGGGGCGTTTACACGCAAAAGTGCGTCTTGTGGGAGGAGAACCTGTAAATATATTAATTTAGCACTCGCAAAGTGATTTATTAAACCTGAAAGCAATTTTGCTAACGGTATCTGACTCTATATTTAACACGTTTCAAAAGAAGGTGCAAATGGTCTGTATGCGTAATTGCGCACACATGGCAGCGGTTATTGTCGCAAGAAGGAGACATCGAAATGAAGCAAGGAGACGCAGAGAACGCATTTTTTCACTCCGTGTGAATATTTTTGGAATGAACGAGGAAACGATCATCAAAACATATCGTTTATCCAGCATTGCCATTTTGGAGCTGTTGGGGGAACTCCGAATGGATTTGGAGCCAGCCACAAGGAGGACCCACGCAATACCAGATATCACAAAACTCCTTGCAACATTGCACTTTTTTGCATCTGGGATCTCCCAATCGCGTTTTTCAGAAGTGCGTGCAGTCATCTTATCCACAGTCACTTCTTGTGAGCCATTTGTTATGTGCATTTTTCTACAGGCCAATACAAAACACCTGTTTTTGTTTTTTGTTTTTTTTTACTGCAGTGAAGTAGAAATTCATACCACCTTAGGGAATAAAGGTTGCCAAAGTTTATATATATATTTCCATCCATCCATCCATTTTCTTTACACGCTTGTCCCAAGTGGGGTCGCGAGGGGTGCTGGTGTCTAATTCCAGCAGTCAATGGGAAAGAGGCGGGGTACACCCTGGACAGGTCGCCAGTCCATCGCAGGGCTATACCCTATATATATATATATATATATTTTTTTTTTTTTTTTTTTTTTGGGGGGGGATTGGGTGGGGGTGTCACTGTAAGATAAACATTTCTTAATGCACTAGTTTGCACAAACTACTTTGCCGCAAACCACAAAACGTGCAAAACCATCATTTAAATAGGGCGTCTCCAACAGTTTTGCACCTGCCACCAGTTACGCAATTACTCTTGTTAAATCACCCGCAAACCATGGTTCAGCCCCTCACGCAAAATTCCAGTTTGCGAGCGCAAATTACTGCATGCAAAATTGGATCTTGATAAATCCGGCCCTTAGACTGTATACAAAACGACATTTTGATACATACAACTTTTGACAGTGAATGAGCAGTGAAATGAACGTTTCCATTTATAAAGTGCAGCAGTGATCAAAATGTAAACAGTGTTGGAGAGACATGGTGCAAAGGCATTGATGTGTAAGGTTCAGAACAGTGCAAAAATAGATAAATATATATATGGTGTAAAATGCAATAGAAACACTGAGTTGAGTTCTGTTTTGAAGATTCAACTTGTAGTGTAAGTATGATGTTTACAGTATGATGAAGAGTCTCGATTTGTGACTGAATTAGAGTTTTCAACAGTTAAACAGTCTGATGGCGGTGGAGAAGAAGCTGTTGCAGGACATGCAGGAAGTCCTGCAATGACTGCTGCGGAGCCTCTTCCCAGAGGGCAGCAGGGAGAACAGTCCATGGTGGAGGTGTGAGGGGTCACTGATGATGTAACGGGCTCGGGACACGCAGAGCTGGGATTAAATATCTTTTAGGGGAGTGGAGCCCCCATGATCATCTCAGCTGTTCTCACCACTCATCTCACCTTCTTCCAGTCTGGGGCGCTGCAGCCTCCACACCACACAGTGAGACAGCTGGTCACAATGCTCTCCATGGTGCTTCTGTAGAAGGTGGTGAGGATAGGTGGGGGCAGGTGGGCTCTCCTGATCCTCCACAGGAAGTACAAGCGCCTCTGTTATCTCTTGACCATTGAGGTGGTGTTTATATTTCAGTTGAGGTTGTCTGTGATGTGCACCCCCCGGAATTTGGTTCTACTGACCACTGACCAGCTGAGCTGTTGATGAGCAATGAAGGGTGGTTAGGCCGGAATTTAACCTTCAGAGGACGAAGGCGCTGAATTTGAACTCAGCATGAGAACGGACAAAATCCCCAGATTTTGTTCTCGTCCCTCCGTCTTTACCCAGCAGGTCTCAGAGCAGACTTGTCTGCTGTAGGTCAGATCTGCTCAGGCCCCTGACCATTCTGATGACGTCATCATATGGCAACTCCACTCGGACAAACTGTATTGCACCTGTTTTTTTAAGAATTAATTCTCTTTTGGAGTCTCCACATGTTATAACCCATATTTGCTATTATTTTACATTTCATTAGTGATCTAAAGTATCCGAAAGTATAAAACAATCATTGTCAGTCTTGAAGGGAAGCACTACATTCTATCAACAGGTAAAACTTCATCGATCATTAGACACGCTAATGCTACAGATACTCCCAACTCGGCACACGGACGCTGCATGATGTTATTATAGTTATCTGGGTAACCACAATGTTTTACATCATGTGGCAACTTTCAGCCAGTCATGTAGCATAACGTCACTAGCATGCGCAGGGCCAGAGCAGATCTGGTACCTACACAGTTCTCCAGATTGACAGCTGTTCCGGCATGAACCACAGCAGTAGCAGCTTCCAGGTTAGCGCTAACAGAGCTCAGAGTATTAAGTTAGAAGTTCACTTTTTGTTGCCATTGTTCCACAAAAGTATGTTTTGAAAAGATATAATCCAATTATTATCTAGAGAGCACTAACAACAGGAGGGGAAATGCACGTCCAGACTAGCTTTGAATATGGTGATGTCACGAGTACGCTTCTGTTCAGATTGAACCAGATTTATTCTGCGTGTTCCCGTTCTCGTTGATTCCTTACTTTTCTGTGTTCTCGAGAACGTACTTGCCGAGAACCTGAGTCCATACTAGCGTTCTTGTGAACTGACAAACAGCCCAGCAATTGGTGCACATTCTCCTCTTAAAAATTACAAATGTGTTTCAGGGTTCAGTGACAGTATTTTTTTTAAATCATTTTAACTATAATTTCAAAAAAATTACAAACCTGTTTAGAAACTTTTGGTTCTTCCTCAATGTACTTCTGCTCTGCAGGAACCACAGTCTTTATAGCAGCCTTTATCTGCAGGAATGCAGGGAAATGAAGCAAATAAGAAAGCTTGTTTGAACCTCATGGATCCATCCTGGGTTTATGAGTATAAGACCAACCACGCTGAAACAGAGTGACGCTCACAGTGTTGTAGATGACTTCGATTTCCAGGAAGATGACTCCTTTCGTGGACCCGGTGAGCTCCTTGTTTTTCAGCACGTATGCTTTCTGGACGCCGTTGCGGACCTAAAACACACAGGTGTTATGAACCATGAGCGGCTCGAGTTTATTTGACCAGCAACCTTTAACACTGGGAAATTATTATATTTTATTTACCCATCAATGTTTATTAATTGGCTGGTCACAGATCAGACCTAATGCAGAAGAGCCAGCAGGCAGCTAAAAGCAGGAAGCTGCAGTGTTTATCATCAAACTATAAAGAGCCTGGGGCCAAATTAATTCAGAAGAGGATTAATCTCTCCATCCTGGAGAGAAATATAAACTGTGCTGCTGCCATCAACACCTTTGTTTATAGATGTTGGAGCATGCACTGTTTTCCAGTGTAGTCCTGTTTTTCTGACTGTGACTGGCTGGATGTGCTCTCTTCATCCTCTGACATTGGAGCTGGCTCGGAGCTCGTCTGCCTGGCTGTTTCCTGGATTAGGCTGCATTTAAACTAGGCTTTTCTATCTCTGCTTCTGTCTCCTTGAACCCCAGTCGGCCTCAGCAGATGGCCGCTCACACTGAGCCTGATTCTGCTGGAAGTTTCTTCCTGTTAAAATGGAGTTTTCCTCTCCACTGTCGCTACAAGCATGCTTAGTGTGAGGGATTGCCTTCGAGTCAATGATGCAATCAACTGGTTTTTCTTAGATAGAAAACTTTGAAGGAATTTGACTGTATGATCTGGTGAACTGGGAAGCACCTTGAGATGACATGTGTTGTGAATTGGTGCTACATAAATAAAATGAATTAAATTGAATTCTTGAGCGGCATTATGCTAAATAAGGATTTAATTAACCCTGTCATAAATCAATTCCTTGTAACAGTTTCCAGGCTGTTGTAGGGGCTGCAATTGCACACAGTGCAGGAAATTACAAAAAGTGAAGCCTAATAGTAAAATATAAAAAACATGATTCCTTTAAAAGAAAGATTCAGCCAATCAAAAACTGTTGTGTGCATTACCTGTATATGCAAAATGGACGTTTAAAGCATATTTCCTCTGATGCTGTCTGTCTAATCCGGGGGTCGGCAACCCAAACTATTCAAAGAGCCATATTGGACAAAAAAATAAAATAAAATAAAAAATCTGTCTGGAGCCACAAAAATGTAAAAGCCTTATATAAGCCTCGTATGGCAACACGGGCTCTAAGTGTATTATCCCACTATAAAAAAGGACTATATGGGCTTAATATATAATAAGCATTCACGATTAAATGTTTATCCTGAAGCAAATGTCACATAGTAGCCTGAGGTGAAGGAGGAACAGTGAACGCTCCCATCGTGCACCGCTTCACCGAGCGCCGCTTCACCACCTTCACCGCGCTGTTTAAGTTTTCTTGCATTGATGAAATTATAGAAACACAATAAAGGAATCTTTCTATGGTGGACATGTTTCTGTTGGGAAGAGTTTATTGAGTCATGAGGAACCAAGCAGGAACTGACACCCATCAGAGCAGAGCTCTCTAACCCCAAAATCCCACATCCTCTGTCACCATCGTTTCTTGGTCTGATTAATATTTTTAGGATTTGGGGAAAAAATGGAAGAAAGTTCAGATACCTGCATCAAAGCTCTGCCTGTTTGATCTGTGGACGGTTTTCCATCTTTGCAACAAAACTAGCAGTAGTAGTGGAGTTTGGAAATGCAATCCACTTCTTAAATCTATCTTTGCGCTCCTCTAATTTATCCTGCAATCGCACTTCTTCTCTCACTCCCAGCTCGGTGGTCGGCTGCAGATTTAGCCTTCCCTGGAAATGCCTTTCCAAATTTTTATTTTTATTTTTTGACAACCTCTCATTACAAAGCAAAAATGCAGGCAATCGTGCATCATTGATAATGAAAGCAAATGAGTCGGCCTATTTGAATCCTCTTTTCTCATCAGTAATCTTCCTTTTTTTCCCTTTGGGACTCATATTCCAAGACACACCTGCAGCTTTGTTTGCCTGGCACTGCGCCACGCTGGTTCCAAGTTCTGACCATTGATTTCTATGGCTTTGACGCAAATTATTGTTTAAATTTATTTATAATACAAATGTTTAAAGCATTGGAAAACATTAACTTTTGTTTGCAACCTGTACACCATATTGAAAGAAAAAAGAAAATCGATTTTCATAAATTTTTGAAAAAGCTCCAGGGAGCCACAAGGGGGAGGCTAAAGAGCCGCATGTGGCTCCAGAGCCGCAGGTTGCCGACCCCTGGTCTAATCTGACTAAGTACAGTAAAAACATTAATGAGAACACTTGGAGTGTGACTGAAGTAAAACCAGCGGATTGACTAAAGATTCCTCTGTGAGGAACACAGGAATCCTTTTTCTTCTCAATCATTTTATGTTGCATTGCTTAGGTCTTCCATATACAACCTTGTTAAAAAAAAGAAAACTATAAATACATTTATAAATAAAAAGCGATGTGAGCTTTACTACTCACATTTAGTAGAGGAATGGCTACTTTTCCCAGGAAGTCTGCACTTCTGTCTCTGTCTTCATCAAACACTGACACCTCAAGGACTGAGTGGACATCTTTCACATTGCTGAGGAGAGAGGAGGAATGAGGAAAGCCGTCAGCTAAACATCAGAGCTGTGCTTCAGAGATCCCAGTTGGATGAGGAGCCCAAGATTAGTTAACCTAGAGATGAATGAACCTGACCTAATAAACATATTTGTTCAGTTTTATGGCATTCAAATGTTTTAACCTCTGAAAAGACCTTAAGTGGGGGTAATAATTCAGAATGCATAAAATTTTTACCAGCAGGTGGAGCCATTGCGCGCAGCTCCAAGCTGACACCAAAAGTTTCATAGCCCACAGATCTAGAACCATTAGAGCTAGAGGTCTCAAATTTTCTGCATGCGTGGTTGACATGATGTAGAACAAATATAATCAAACAATAAAACCTGCCCCTTTTCAAGAATATCCTTATTACTGCCGTTCAAAAAAGACCTATAATTTACGAGAATAAAAAACAACAACTTTGAGTCATGTTTGAACTGATGCAGGTTGGTCTGTGTTCTAGTCACCCAATTTTAATTTATTACATACTGAGTAACTATATGAGCAGCTGTGCTTTGCAACATACATACACCATATCAGAATATTCTATTCTCTTGACTACGAATATTTAAATGTACTGAACCATTTGTTTGTTTTCAGCAAAAAAAAAAAAAAAAAAAAAACTTGAAATTTGTTTAATATTCAGGGATATTGTGTGCCTGCTCCACATGTGACACTGAACGGAGCTGTCGACCGCTCCAAGATGGCGCCACCAAGTCATGTCAGCTTCCATTGGCGAAAGCTGTCGATGTGAGGTCTACTCTTGTTACCAACCTGAACCGTCTCTGTCTGTTTTCTTTTTAGAAAATGACACCAAACTACAAGATAAAACATCCTATATCAGAGAAACAAAGACATGCCTGATCGGGTGAGTGTCAGATCTTTTTTATTTTTTATCTATAGTGAATTTCGTTCCAGTATTGTTTCAAGCAAACAACATGTTTTGTAAATAGAAATGAAAAAATGCAAACCCATTGTGAAACTGAAAAACCTCGTGCTAAAAATCGTTTTAAGGAGTAATTTGCTGTTTTAACATTTTGTGTTAGAGATTATACAATTTTTTTTTTCTGCAATTTTATGTTCTTTATATTGTTTTTTACGAATTTCATACTTTTCAATATGCATTTTACAGATAACATTCTCTGACTCTAAGCACATACTGACCAATAATAGTGCTGCTGCTGACGTTCATGAAGACCAACTGTTTCCACTTTGGTTCTAGACACTCGAAACATGACTGTTTCTATTAGCTGAATGCTTTATTTTAGGATATTATCTTTGTTTCTATTTTTCTCTGCTTATTTTTCTCTAAACCATTTTGCAAATAAATTATCCAACTAATTCCACATCCTAAAAGCCAAGCACTTGTGTATTCAGCTTTTATATTCTGTAGTTTTAAACTTTCTTCTATATTTTTGGTCTTTCTGCATGTATTGAACTTTTTAACAACAAGCTCATAACTCAGAATGACTCGGAAGGCCTTTTCTAGCAGCTCAGACTAGCGGAAAAAAAGCAAAAAAAAAAAACATCCACAGCCCTGTGATGAAAACTGAATACGACTCACAAGGTGAAGACTTTGTTCCACTCAGGGTTGAGATTTTTGTATATAGTATGTGTCTGCAGTCTGTCGTTATTCAGCTCCAGCACGCAGAAAGGGTCACTCTTACCTGAAAAAGGTAGAAATCAGATGAGAGTGCCTGTTTTAAGGAGAGGTGAGACAAAACAAGGAGAAGAATCAGACGGCTCTGATACCCGTTACGTCTGCAGCCATAAGTCCTTCTGCTCTCAGCACCTTCACCTGGACAATACCCACGTCCTTCAGATTAAAAAAGGACTTCCTCAGACTCTGCAGAAAACAAGGTGTTCACTGGGATTTAGATATCTGAAAATGTTCCAGATATTTAGTTTTAGACAAACTTTATTCTCATCTTGTACAAACAGAGTGTATAGAAAATGAAATTTCAATGTATACAGCTTTTCACAGTGAATGAGCAGCTTACAATAGTGAAATGAACATTACCATTTATAAAGTGCAGCAGTGATCAAGAATGTAGACAGTGTAGGAGAAAATGAAACCAGTTTAAAGTCATAAAATCAGAAAGATTGATAGTTTGGCACTGACATATCGTTTGAGGATTTCTCTGCGCTCCTCTTGGTCCTCCAGCGGCGTAAGGGACAGGTCAGCTATGGAGACGGCGGCGGAAGCAGTCAGTGTGACCAGTAGATTCAAGATGCCACGGGACTCCTCCAGCGGCAGCTCCAGGTGATGGGTCTTCTCTTTCGCCAGAGTGGAGAGGTCTAATTGGCAGCTGGGAGAGAGCAAACAAGGATTTGAGATCATTCTCTGGAAGCTAAAAGCAAGGTGTGGCTAAAATCCTGAACAAGTGGTTGGTAACCCTAAGGATACATCATTTAATTGTACCAGAGAATTTCCTTTTGGTTTTGGTTTTCAACACTGGAATAAAGAGTGAGGCATTTTGTTAAATATCAGTTACATATCAGTTAGAGGGGCTCAGGTTATCCTGAGCTATCTCTATAGCTATGCTGCTATAGGCTTAGACTGTTGGAGGACATAGAGACCCTTTTTCCTCATTCTGCTTCATTCGATCTCTATTCTCCCATTCTGCAGTATTTGTAAGTTCAATCTCTAATATATTTCTTGCTTTCTCTGCTTTTTCTCATAGTAGCTTCATCTGGTCTGTTCCTGTTTGGCTGTGACTCCATCCTGGAGAGAAATATCAACTGTGTTGATGCCATCAACACCTTTGTTTTTTAGATATTGGAGATCGGCCTGTTTTTCAGTGTAGTCCTGTATCTCTGACTGTGACTAACTGGATGTGCTCTCTTCATCCTCTGTCATGGGAGCTGGTTCAGAGTTCGTCTTGCTGTGTTTCCTTGTTGGGGCCACCTGTTGGGCTGGTTAACAAGTTGCTTTTTGTATCTCTGTTTCTTTCTCTAAGTCTGCTTCTGTCTCCTTGAACCCCAGTCGGCCTCAGCAGATGGCCACTTAGACTGAGCCTGGTTCTGCTGGAGTTTTCTTCTTCTTAAAAGGGAGTTTTTCCTCTCCACTTTCGCTGTAAGCATGCTAAGTGTTAGGGCTTGCTGAAGAGTCAATTAGTCGATGCAATCAACTGGTTTTCCTTAAAAAGAAAACTTAGAATAAACTTGACTGTATGATCTGGTGAACTGTTAAATGCATTGAGATGACATGTGTTGTGAATTGGTGCTATAGAAATAAACTGAACTGAATTAAATGAAGCTGATTCTGACCGTCCGATGAAGTCGTCTCTCCTCCCGGTGTCTTTGTCCCACACTGTGATCTCCAGAACGCCTCCTGTTTCTTCATACAGATGAAGGTCAAACTGCTCCCTCCACTGAGGACTCAGGGTCTTTGCCATCGTCTGCACAAACGCACAGGATTTGTTTGATGTAAAGCAAACATCATAAATACATTTAAAAGCCGTTTTTCTTAGAAAGCTCAGACAAGATGTCTCCTCTGTTTAACCCACCTTGCTTTTGTACTTCTGTGGTCCCAGCCTGAACTTGGCGTAGGGGTCACTAAGGCCATTGGGGTCCATGGGTGTGAGGTTACGACCTTCGATTAGCGTGATACTGACGATCCCTCGCCACAGCTGGGATTTACGGTGGACCTCAGTGAGACGCATTGACTGCTGCTGCTGACCCAAACGCCCCCAAACACAAACAGATGTTTTCACAGTTAGGAACAAGGTCAACAAGAATCTGTTCTTAATTTCTCTTAGGTTATATAAAAAGAAGGCTGGCATAAACTTAATGAGAATCCGAATTGAGCAAAAAATATATTTTTTTTTAATCACTTCAAGGTTTGGTTGTTCTTGTCAGAATATTACTTTTAAAACATTTGACCTACAAGCATAACACCAGAAATCTAAAATTGAAACTGACACAGAAACATGGCAGCATCATGCTGTGGTGGTGCTTTTCTTCAGGAGGACCAAGAAAACTGACCGAATGGAGGATGAAGTAAATATGAACAACAGTATCCTGATTTGAAAGAGAGGGCGGACATTTTTAATTTTTTTTTTTACCTTGGGAGGGTTTTATAAAGAGCTTCACCAGAATTCAGGAATATAAATATGGTTGGTAGCCTGACTGCTGATCCAGATACACGTTTAAAAAATTTTCACTAAAAAACAGCATTCAATGCTCGTGTGACCAGATGCTAACATGTTTTTAGCCTTTTTTAAATAAGGTTATGGCAACTTTATTTAAAAATAGAGGTTTAAACAATAATATGACATGAAAGACTGTGTTTTCTGATCAACTTATTATATTTATTGCTATAACATGACAGAAGAGTTTTTTTTTAAATAGATGTGGCCATTGAAGACTTTAAACAGATGTTCTGGATCACTTTGGTCCAATAAGTCACATTAAATTCAGCTTCAAGAAAGGAGCGTTGGTGAATATAACATATAAGGAATCTAACAGGAAAAAGGAAATACATTTAATATTAAACTATAGGGAAGAGAACAATGATTAAGGTGCTAGGAATGTTAAGATGATGCCGTGCCTGCAGACAGTCACACAGGGATCAGGATGGTGATGGTTTACCTTCGTGGATCGTTTCCAGGATCTCCTGAGCAGCATGGTCTGAGGACATATTAAACACATGGTTTAGATCAGCATCTGGTTACATGTTGAAACTAAACTCTAAAACAAAACACCATGATCTATAGCACGCTATGTGAAAGCTCTACTTTGACTAAGTGGAGCTAGATATGGGGAGGAGCATGTTGGGTTGATTTATTCAAGCCCCCAAAATAGAGCAAAAACTGATTTTAGAGTTAGAGAAGGGGTTTATTTACCACAATGTATTTTTCTTTCTTCTTATCAGCATTTCAATCTGGTTAAATATCTGACTTGTGCTGCAGTACAGGCTGAGAGTCGGGTTATTATTATTTCATTCAGTGAATAATACATGAATGGGACAGGCTGTGCTTAATGTCTTGGGGCTTCGGGTGCATTTGAAGACATCCTAATGCTGACAACAAGTGAAGCTGAACGAAAAGAAAAACAGCATGCAGGTCTAAATATCAAAATGAAAACCTCTTTTTGTCGGATTTGGAACACAAGAGGTTTTCTGTATTCTCTAAAGCAATCCCTGAAAACACAAAGACTTTGCTATGTGGCTAAAATGATCCCAAAATCAATCAAATATAATATTTTTCCAATTCCACCGTGAACCCTCTTACATACATACAGCCGACTGAAAACAACCAATCAGGACCAACATAAGTCTAGAAACAATGCTGAGAATAGCTGGTTGAAGATTCTCAGTCATCCAGTTCATATTCATTCCAAAAAAGTAAAAAATTAATCCACTGGACTTTGATTCCAAGTTTGAAGACATTTTGCTTCCCATCCAGGAAGCTTTTTTAAATCAAAATGATCTGGAATAGGGTTGAGTTAGAGGCTTGCGGAATACTGGACCGGGGTCCAGTGTCCACACGCTGGCTAATATGAAACCAACCTGATTTAAAACATTTAAATATTACTGCATGTTGTCCAACAGCAGTGTCTAATTTTACTTGCGCTGCTTCTCCTGTTAATTTGTCACCAGGCTACACCAAATGATCCAATGAGCTGCTGTCAGGCTGGGTTGCTGCTGCTGCTGCTACTTTTAGATGCAGCAGGCAAACCTGTGGCAAGCCAGGCGATGGGAAGGAAGGAGAAGATGATGAGAAAAAGAGAGCAGAGAAAGTGTGGACTGCTGGATGAACTGTGGTGAACTGGTGAAAGAAAAGTGAAATGGTGCTCAAAGATGACCCTGCACATTTAGAGGATGTTTGGCTCAACCTGCTGCTGTGAAGCAGGATTCTCCACCATGAACAGAATCATAAATAAATCTGGATCCAGGCTCAGAATGAGCTCCTTGATATGTGCTTTAGAATGGAATTGTCTCCATTCAAAGCCAGGTTTAAAGCCTTGCAGGGCAGCATAAAGCCCACTGCCAACATTAAGACAGAAAAAAGAAAGAAACAAACAGTCAGTTCATGTGTTTTATAAAATATGTTAATCAGGAAGTTGTCTAAACTGAACGACTGTTTTCTACTTCAAAAAACACTTTTGATTTTAAAATGGAAAAGTGTTAAATTATCTTTAAAGTAACGAATTATAATTAAAAATGTCTCAGGACCTTTACTGGTTCTTGATTTTCTTTATTCGGACCCAGCTGATTTTAATTGGTTACCCCTGCTTTATGGGAATTGTTGGAATGGTTGAATAGGGGAACAAAACACTCGCCTGTCGCCAGGCCAACAATTCCCCCTAATGACCCCCCTTTCAGAGACAAAGACAGGTATGGGGCATTGCAGGCAAACAAAGAACCCGACGACTTCCATTCCAAAGGGGTGGACCCGTTCGTCCGTTTCAATTTGCATGCTTGCTAAACAAAAACAAGGATTTGTTTTTGGTCCACTCTATGAAGCCTCAAACTCAACTCTATTTTTGACATTGGAATTAAAAAAAAAAACTTCCTAGATGGGAAGCGAAACATCTTCAAACTTCGAAAACAAAGTCCAGTGGATTGTTTTTTAAAATTTTGAAATGCTAAATAGAGAGAATGTCAGCATGGTGTCCTGATCCAGTCTTTCTTAACACCATTACAATCACGAGTCTTTGAAGAGCTCTTTACAGGAGCAACATGACTTTCCTACAAAATCAGGACCATATTTATATATTGAAATATAAAACTGTACTCTTGGTTGGTCTCTTACAGCCCTGATAAGTCTATATTTCCACAAATAATCAGTTTTTCACCATTCTCAATTATTTTCCTTTCTCTCCGCAGGATGCCATCCGCTCTAGATCTCATGACTCAGATCTCTCAAAGGTCTTAGGAAAGCTGTACAGTGCAGCTGAAACACTAGTTATTAAACTTAACGACATTCAACTCAAAGCAAAAATGCTGAACCATCAAAGCAATGTGTTTTAAAAGCATTTGACCGAATAAAATCACCCGCACCTAAACTAAATAATCAACAATTCATATCAAAATAAAGGGAACAAATGCTCACATTAGCTTCACACATCAGCAAAACGCTTCAGATAAAAACCAGGAAACATGAATTTATTTGTTTTTACCAACATATTTAAAGCTATGTATATGTTAGCCAATGCAGTGTCAGAACATTCCAGTTGTTTCCAAAGCCCAGATAGAAAAAAAAATACACATAAATGTCCAAAATAATATTGGCAAATGCTCAAACAAGATGTTGTAGCGCTTTTTAAGTATGAGGTCTTTGTGTATTCTGTGATTATTTTATAAGATAAACTTCTATTTAATTTGATCTTGGTCAATCGTAAACTGATTAAAATAAGTTAAATAGCCCGATCAGTGCTGCCTGCTAATAAAAGGAGCTAGCAGCATGGCTGAGACTACAGAATTAACTTTTTTTATAAACATCACAGCCCATCTCCAAACTGTTATATCTTACTTTTTGTCAGGTTAGAAGCGATCTGTGGATCAACCCCTTTGGTGTTGGTATTTTCCACATTGCACTGGCAAGGAAATGGCCATCTAGAAGTGGTGTGTAAATGGAGCTTGTACTTTGATGTCTGCATTTTGGTATAAATAAGTAAGCACTGCTCATGCAGTAATCAGGATGATGTTTAAACTAACTCAGTTTATTGGTCCATCCATGTTCCAGCCTTTCCCTGCAGTCATAAAAGTTTGATTCTTGACAAGGGGGATGAAACACCCACACAGCCTGTTAAAATAGGCCTCTTCTATAGAGTAGCCAGTCCCAGCTGCAGATATAAGGGGATTCATTTTGTAAGGTTGTCGAAATCACAGACATCTTTATAAAAGTCAGGCAAGGTATCGATCTTGCTTTCCTCTACAAACAAAATCTTCTACAAATCAATAGGACAATGCGACGGTTTGGTACAGAGCTTCTTTCCCAGAGGCCACCTAAATGTCTGCTCTACAGTCTGATGAGGACAGTGCAGAGGCCGAGCTGTGGAAGCATACTGCAAATATATAAATGCATATATGCAGCAAATACAAAAAGTACTGCAAAAACAAAAAAGCACAAACAGTGAAAAATCCTACAGGCTGCAAAAACCACTGCTGTTAAAGCTGCAAAGTAGCTCTGCATAATCTACCTGCTTCAGACCACTAGGGGGAGACAATCACAGAGTCTTAATATGGATCTTTTGTAAAAACTTAAAATGTGCTATTAGAGGGAATCCTGCTCATCTTTGAGCTAAGGATTTGCCTATACACACACACAAAAAAATTAAGTCCCTCTTTGAAAAATAAAATAATATTAATTGGTTCCAGAATTATGTAGTAATATATAATAAATGTAACACAACATGTTTGAACAAGGACAGTCTTTCAAGTGAACTCAAGATTTTTAGGTTACTTTGCAGTGGTCATGAAAATTGGTCCTTGCTAAGATTATTTCCTTTAACTGCTGGACCACTTTATCCAGATAACCAGCCGCATGGCCGGTAATTCTACATCTTTGACCTACGTTCACACTGCAGCCTGAAGTGACCCAAATCCAATTTTTTGGCCCATATGCGACCTGTGTCTGAACAGCCAGGTCACATTCATCCGACCTGAAAGCCATTAATACCCGACAAAGGTCACTATATTGGGTCTTGCTATGAAGAAGCAGCAAGAAAAACAACAACCTTGGCAGACGATGATGCAGAGAGCAGTATGTATGTTAAACCATCTTGAAAAGATTGTGTCTTTATGGTTGGGAAAGATCGCTAGATGCGCTCCGGCACTACCATCCATGTTTACTTTCGTAAACACAGAGCACTCTGGCTTGTGATGTCATTACGTCCTCTACTGCACATGCAGGACACTTGCGTTGTATGACTGCAATATATACGCATATATTTGGAAATGTAAACGGCAACGCAAAAATATTGGATTTCACAAAAAAATCGAAATTGAGCATCAAGCCCTCCAGTGTGAATGAACCTAAGAGAGATGGAGGAGTTAGGTGTTGCCCAAGTTCACACTGTTGAAACCATAAGTTACCTTGATGCCAAGATCCATGATGAAAGGCAGCTCTATGTTGAGGTTATTTAGACCATGTAACATACATCCATGTCTGTAAACAAAAATAGTTTCTGCTCTTAAAGTAAATACAATTAGGTTAAATGTTGAGTTAGTTGTTTCTAACTTAATTCAATGCAATGACAAATATAGGTCAACAAAATCAGATTTTAGTTGAATCAACCAAACACCGTGCAGGAAGCTACGCTCCGGGGACGGCCTGTCGGTTTGCACCCGAAGCCAAAACACGCAGCGCTATGGCGAGTCTTTGGGGAACACTCATTGGTGAACTGTGTGTCATCATGCTGTTGGATGAGGGGTTGTACACGGAAAACAACTCGTCAAACCGACACCCACAATCCTAGATAGTTCATGATTGTCCCTCTTGCATTGTGACGTGGAATAACGTAGCACAGACCATGCTTCAAATCTGGGCATAAATCAAAAATATCTGCGTCACACCTGCAACAAGTTAACTGCAATACACTGCTGTGGGAGTATAACCAGCCCTTTATGAGTGTAGATATTAATTGGTAGTAATGTCATCAGTCTTGTTGACAGTGATCGACTCCCCCTAGTGGTCTGGAGCTGTTCTGCATTGCAGAACCTAACTCCAGTTTTCTATTTGTTTTTACTTTTTTACTGAATTTTTCCTGTGGGTGTGTTGCTGAGCTTGTGTGTGAGCATCATTTATGTGCTTATTTAAAGCGTTTCAATAAATTTACACAGCATTTGTACTGTTGTTTTCTAATTTCTGTGGTTGTAGCATATCTCTTTTGCATCATGTTTTCCTTTGCATGAGTTTGTGAAAATTTTGTCTTCGCAATACTTTCCATACTTGTTGCACCACTCAGCCACAATAGGAAAAGGAAGACTACGAGGTGAAGCAGGGGAAGCATTCATCTAAAGGCATCTCTACAAGCTAAAATACCTCCGCACTCACTTTATTTACATAAGGTTTCCACCGATAGGTCTTAACTTCGCCTTGCTGCAGGAAACAGAAATATTTAGTTTCACCAGTTAAAAAAGAAAAGAGAATCTAATAAAAGTTTTTTCTTCAGTCGGCAATCAATTCAGCTTAACCTGTAAACTGGTTAAAGGAGAAAAAATTGGTGTGTGATTAAAACGCAGATTTTCTATTTAGGCTTTTAGATTTTTCTGCATCTAATAAGGATGCTGTATTTGCTGCAGGTATTGCTGCACCTTTTACAGCTGTAATGATCAAAGTAGTGAGTATTAAACAAACTGCGTATAAAGTCGTAGGGAAATGGCTGTTCCAACGGTTTCATTTCTGATTTCTCCCGAGTGGTGCAGGACTCTACACAAAGTGAATAAGGTCAATATGATTGGTTGTTTATCAAGGGGGCGGGATTGTTGTGGCGGAAGGTTTGCAAGCAAGTCTAATTGTGGCCGGTTTGTCAGAAGCATCTTGCTAACCAGTTAGCAACTTAGTGCTAGTAGGTTCCCAATGGGAAATTCCATTGGGACCAAGTAGCACTAAATAGGTGACTGAGAAACGACGCTGTCAAGGAACGCTATGGACAGAGGAAACGTGCAAGAGGAGGAGATTTTAGAGTCGGAGGTCGTGGATGAGTCTCCTCCGTCATACATTTTTTATTTAGAGGAGGAAAGTGGGGACGAAGATGTTGTGGAAGAGGACGCCAGGGAGGCAGAAGCTTGGTTTGGTGTAGAAGGCTTCCAGGGTACATGTTTGAGCCCTTGCCTCGCAACGCTGCCAGTTCTGTTAGCTCTACGCCTGCTAAAGACACAGACGTCCATCCCCGTGAACACTGGGACGCAACTCAACGGGAAAGGAAATGATTCTTATTTCTTATTTCAGCAGTTGCGTATATTAGCTGTGACATATGAATCAAGATGCTATGACTGAAAAAATCGGATTGACAGATGACCGTTGCAAACATTGGCCGAATTTAGGTGTTCAGGCTAACATAGAACTAATTGGCCTGCAGAAGATAACAAAAAAAAAAAAAAAAAAAAAAAACAGATTTTAAGACAGGATTTTTTTTTAAATAGACATTTTTTACATTTTGGGACAATATTATCGGATAAAGAGTGCATTTATATACATGTTTAAGCCGAAAGGATTTGACATTTGAATATGACTTCCCTACGACTTTAAAAGACGAAATAATGAAAGCAAAGTAATAAAACAGAGGCGTAGATCTCGTGCCACAAGAACTTCAAAACACCGTAATATATCTCATTACCAAGGCTATTGCTTAATACTTTATATACTTTAAAGGATAGTCATGAAACCCCAGATAAAGCTTTAGTTATACTAGCAAAGTTTTTTTTTTAAAGATTAGACTCTAAATGAATTTTTATTGACCTTAAGTGAGCATATCTCAGCTGGTATAATCCTGCAATTAACAAAAAAATTGCAGGATTATCCAAAAGAATTCTAAAATATGAATATAATTCTAAATTATAGTCACTTAGACCAAACATTTTTTACCGTCTGATCCCCTGAGCTTAAATTTTTATTTCTGCAATCTCTTTTATACCTGTTGTAAAGCTTTGGATATACTAGGTTGAAAAGTAGGGATAAATTTTTGCTATTCCACCTGTGAGGAACCCCCCTCCACCCCCCTCCATCCAAAGTATCTGAAGCGATGAGGAAGCGTACGTACCGCTGGGTCTCGCTGCTCCTCTATGGGGCTGTTTTTAGGCGTCAGGGTTACTGCCAGCTCCAGGCAGCCCAGGTCCTCATTGGGGAGCTGATGGTCCTTCAGCACCAAAGTCACAGGTATCGTCCTACAACACACAAGCATGTCTTTGTGCTCAATCACTGCTACATTATAAAAAAAGCAGTTTTTACTCTGACCAGATCTGGTTTAGATGTTTAGCTCAGTGTTCATGTTTTCAACAGGACAATTATGAGTGACGCACTGCCTCCAGCCTCCATTTCCTGTATAAATAACCATCGTCTTCTGTGTAATAGTGTCTAAATAGCCTTTAGCTTTAACCTCTAAATATAATACTAGAAAGGATGCAGGTGATAGAATACTTATAGGAGAAAAACAAGAAAACGGAACATTAACAAAACATTTTTAAGTTTTAATGTCACAATGCTAAATTCTAATGATCTAATCTTTTTTTCTATTTTTGGATGAATAAAGGTGGTTACAGTTAAAGACCCACGAAAGGCCTTCAGGCTGTACTTTGCTCATGTTGGAGATGCCGTTAAATGCTTTAGGTGGGTTATGTTTACATTTGTATTTCTGCTGCCGTCAATCTGCTCTGCAGCAGAACCTTGGTTGGGTCATCAGATGTGTGCTTTATATGTTTATGACAGGTTGGCACACAGAATGAAAGCAAAGGACATACTTGGTATGATTCTATGCACTAACAAATATAGAGGAAATAAGATTAAGACCCGTTTGGTGACATTTTGTTTGGCTCAGCTTCATCGTTTTTTTTTTTTATCTGGATAATCTTATCATTCATCATATATTTCTTGTAAATTTCTAGTTTAGGATTTGACAGATTTTTTAAATATTTTCTGAAAATAGAAAATACTGAAAAAACACCACAAATAATTTAATAAACAAAAAAGCTATTTTCTAATTCTAATTTCATTCAAAGTGGAGCTCCAAACATTTAGCCGTTTCAAGTCATAAAGTCTGAACGCTGGGATTTTATTGGGACTAAACTTTTGTTTGTAGGAACTGCAGCTCTATGAAAAATTATTACCTGCTTACAGAAATGTTTCGTTTTTTAAATTTTCATCACATCTAAATTGATTGATCGACTGATTAACTTTATTGATCTCACATTGGAGAAATTTACTCATTACATCGCCTCAAATAGTCAAAAATAAGAAGGTGCCAATGTATATATATATATATATCAGTCGATCAATCAATTTAGATGTGATGAAAATTTAAAAAACGAAACATTATATATATATCCATATATATATATAGATAGCATTTACATGGGTATTTACATAGATGGGTATGTATCTATATAACTATTGCACAGGGTATCAAATTTAATGAAACAGGTTAATGTACAAGTTATTATAATAGTAATTGCACGAGTTGTTACTGTTGTGTCTGATTGCAGCAGGGATGAATGAGCGGTGGTAGTGCTCATTTTTACAAACAGGGTGTAAACTTCTCTGACCATCAAAAAAATACCAGTGCATCTAAATAATATTATTTTAAGTATATACAGCAAGTTTGGAAATTAAACACCATTTTGTTTAGGCAATAATTCAACCAAATCAACCTGTACCAAGTCATCACTCTCTAAACATATACATGCTGATGTAAAACATAAGGATTAATATAAGCATCACAATTAGTTTTAAAGGAAATTTTTATTTGCAAAAATAAAGTCGTGTTTCCAATAAAAAAATATTCTGCCAAAGTCTGATAACAACTACATCAGTGAGCTTAGAAAGAGATGCTTTTAAACACATAGGCGGCCTTGCTCCTAATGGAATACGCCATGTTGAGTCGCCATCTTTGATAGCCAAAAGGGTCTAAATTGGGACTCGTTGTGAGACACAAAGTGACAGGTCATGAAATATCTTTCACAATCATCATGATCTGATCCATCAGATATAATACATTATACATCATGAAATAATTAGATGCAACATTTGTACCTGATTCAAACATAAAAAACCCAATTAAATCAAAAAATGCACAATTAAAAATTAATGTTGCTTTTAATAATCAAAATTATGTTTAAAACTATTTAATAAATAATTACATTTCATTAAGCGTAATATAATTATTTCACTCTGTTTTTAAAACCAATGTTTCTATTGTTAGGGGTCACCAGTATTTATTAGGTTACAGGCTGAAATATTTGGGAACTCCCTGGTCTTCATGATAGAAGTCTGATTTGTTTTAAATAACAATTTAACATATAAAAATAAAATCCCTATTAAGACTTGTCATTCATAAAAATGATAATTAATCCCTAAATGTAGTTAGTCTGTATGAGTAATATAGGAATATGTCATACAGATCCTACACAGCCCTAAAATCTGTGTGTTTATATGAAAAATTCTGTAGCTGTTGCATTTTTTTGAAAAAACTCCACTGCAATATAAGCTAACAGGTATGTTAAAACCATCTAGAAATAAGTCAACTTTTCTTTAATTAGGTGTAATTACCCTTAGTTTGAGCAGATAAATAAGATGATTTGCCAATGGATGTCGATTTTTACCCTTAAAGTTTTAGGGAAACGGCTGTTCCAACCCAGTAGTGCACAACTTTAAACAAGTGAATAAAGTGAATGTGATTGGTTGTTTACCAAGGGGGCGGGATTATTGTGGCAGAAGATTCACAAACAGGTTTGGTTAGGCCTGCCGAAGACGCAGACGTCCATCCCCATGAACACTGGGACGGAACTCAATGGTAAAGTAAATGATTCTTATTTCCTTTTTCAACCGTTGCGTATATTAGCTGCGACATATTAATCAAGATGCTATGACTGAAAAAAATTGATTGACAGATGACAATGTCGTTTTAAATTTCTTATTTAAAATGTAAATTGTTTTGTACCATTGGTAAAGTGTTATACTTACTTTCTCAATTAAAGAACAAATGCACCTATTTTAAGAAAAAACGTATCTAGATTTTGATTTTTTTTTCAGTGAGGCGTTTGGCAAAATACAAATATTTTATTTTATATTTTTTTAACCCAAACTACAGACAACTGGATCACATAGAGACATGCAACACGAAGCAGCACGAAGCAACACAGTGACAGCATGAAAACAGCACGCAGACACAGATAAGCAGCTATCATGATTCCTGCAGGCACAAATAGACGAAAGGTCAGCAGAGACCAAAACAGAAATGCCACCACCAACTACCACAGACAAGTAGACCACCCACACAGACTAGAACTGATCACAGAAACACACTGAATGAGTCTGTCTAACACTGGAAGGCTGAAGCTCTGATATGAGGAGATAAATTCACTGTTTGAACGGCTGGTAAAAACCCTGCACACAGTCACATCAACATCTAACAGACCTCTGCTGTTCTAGAGACTCCAGGTAAAGAAAAGCTGAACCCATGAAGTCGTCTTGAAGACCAAAGTCATAGTCAAACACCTGTAGGAGAGCAACAGAACATCTGCACTGATTCCTCATTCTCCTTTAAATCAAGGATTTCTAAATGTTTGCAGTCTGTCTGTTTCCTTTACCTTAACGTACAGAGGGTCGCTCAGACTGTCCACGACCAGCGTTATCTTCTCATCCCACACCGGGTTCAGGTTTTTGTGGATGGTCTTACTTCTAAACACCTCTTTACCAGCCAGCTTGAACTTCACGTAGGGATCACTGGTGCCTAAAAACCAAAAAGTGTTACAGAGCCATGAGCAGAAAAAGGATGAGAAGAGAAAGAAAGGCAGGGAAGCACCTCCTCGGTCCCGGATGGCCAGGTTGTGTCCTCTTTTCAGCTCGATCTCCAGCTTATACATCCCTGAGGACGGGGCGGCTGCCTCAGCAGACGTCCCTGAGGAGAAGGATGCCCCCATGCCCTGTCAGGAGAGATGGATGTGTTAATCACAAACAGTCACACCACAGCTCCACCTTAATGTAGACTCACCAACATTTAGCAGAGAAACACAAATGTCTTTGTGCGATAGTCCCACTTTAGCCTTTAATGTCTCAGCTGTACACACACTTCATAGCGACACGGACCAGTGTCAAAGTCATTTTGTTCTACAGAGGGCTTCTGACAGGAAATTACACGATTCAAGCTTCCTCCCAACCAACCGCACCGATGGTGAGATGAATTCTCTTCCGTTTATGTAGTAAGACTGTTTCAAACCAGCTCCCTTTAGAGGAGTTATCAGTCCACAGACAAACTGTATGAAACTAAACTCTAACACCACTTCCATACCTATGAACTATGGCTTCACCTCAGTAGGAGACACACAGACGTTTCCAGACATTCATACAGTGAATTCCCAATGTTGTGCTCAAGCAAATTTTCACATCAGATTTACCCAGAAGTTTCCACATTTTGAAAGCCCATAAAGGTTGATAATAAACTATAACACTATAGTTCAAATGCTTGAGAACAAATATGAAGAAAAAAGGAAAAGAAAGAAATTATCCATCATATTCTTTGTTGTTTTTTCTTTTGTCTTTTATTTTACTTTGCTTTTGTAGTTACATATCTGGACACATTACATAGCTGAACAGATTGGGTTAATAATTCAATTCAGTATATTTCTATAGCACCAATTCACAACACATCTCAGCTCAAGGCACTTTACAGATACAATTCAACCAGATCATACAGTCAAATTGATTCAGTTTTCTATCTAAGGAAAACCAGTTGATTGCATCGACTCAATGACTCAAAGGCAATCCCTCACACTAAGCATGCTTGTAGCGACAGTGGAGAGGAAAAACTCTCTTTTAACAGGAAGAAACCTCCAGCAGAACCAGGCTCAGTGTGAGCGGCCATCTGCCGAGGCCGACTGGGGTTCAAGGAGACAGAAGCAGAGATAGAAAAAGAAGCAGATACAAAAGGCAACTGTAAATACTAGAATAGGGACTGACAGTAGGTTTGTATGTGCAAAAAACACTGAAAATGTTAATGGTAATGAAAGTTATTGTAAAACTGAAGAAATGCCGTTTTCATGAAGAAAGGATAATATATTATATAAACACTCTAGCTCTGTCCGTGTGTAGCTAATTGTATGTATACACCTTTGTGTAAATGTAAACTATGTTAATAGGCAAAGGGGGAAATAAATGAACATGCAAATTAATTAATCAAATGATAAGAAGTTAAAATACGACTTCCCTAAATAACAAGGTTTTCAATTGCATTTTAACTTTTTTTTAAAGCATTTGGATCCCATTGGTTTAGAGAAAGCATGTAACCCACAGTATTTAACACACAGTTTCCTGGCATTTAAAATGCCAGGAAACTGCTGTGAACTGCGCATCCTGTCAGCACACACACATACATCACTCATTTGGATCAATACTGATGACAAATGAGGGCTATAATGGATGGATACAGAAAACGCTCCAGAGTAAACGAACATCGGGGGTCGTTAAGTATTACTGGTGACTCAGAATCCAAGTTGTTTACAGTGTGAATGACGGAGAGATCTGATGGTGGAAATAACAAAAAATGAAAAAAAATCATCTGAAATCTGAAAGGCTTATATGTCAAATGGGGAACACCCTTATTCTCAGCTTAATTTATTTCAGAACTTTAGCAGAATTTTTTCACCCCAGTAGTATTGTCCGATCTACACCATCCATCGAAACTCTGCCTGTATGTATAACATCTCTTTCTTCTAGACGGCGGCACAGGAGCAACCCCAGTCTAGTTTGTTGTCCAGGTGAAAACAAAGGTATTTATACTCCTCCACCACCTCTACTTCTTCTCCCATGATGTTAACAGGATAAAACCTGTTCTTGTCTCATCTGAAATAACAATCACCTCGCTTTTTTTGGTTGATCAGACAAGTGTTTTCACACCATGCCACAAAGCAATTCACCAGCTCCCGGTACTAAGGTTATTGCTCATCTTTGATGCACCAAACAAATGCAGAAATATTCGCTTGATACAATATGTTGTTAATCAAATTAATTGTTAGTGACTCAATAAGATTAATCAACTTTAGATTAATTTATTATGGTGACCTTAAGGTCAAAGGTGATGGTACAGAAGCCAGGAACAGAAGGAAAGAGCTATAATTTTAAGGTTTTTGGAAGGAGCCAATATCTTTCTCCACTGTCAAATCAATGATTTACACAGTTCTTTTGTTCTTATTCTTATACCTTTCTTATAGCTCCTGTTAACTCCCATTAATACTCCATGTCTTGCTCGTTCAGTGATTCACCTGTAAGTTCAACAACTTTTTTTCCCCACAGTATGCCCCCCCCTGATCCCTTATGAACCTAAAACATTAAAGAACCTTCCTCTCAGTGAAAATGAAAACATATCTATGCTTGGATATGCCTCTAAATGTTTCTGGAATCAGATCACAGTCAGAGAAATCCATTTGATTTGAGGAATTGGGATTTAGAGGAATATTGCTACCGGTGTAAAAAGCCTTCAAACTCGGAGGTCAGCATTGCCTGCAACACAGTAACATGAATTGCTCAAAGTGTTGTGCAACAGTTACCTTTGGTAACATGTATAAGGAGATAAAGCAACACAGATGATGCTAATCTGAGGTCAGACTATCCACACAGTCAGGACCTGATAAAAGCAAGATGGAGCAATTATGCTAAACAGAAACCACATGTGTGACAATGTAAAAGTATCCATCTCTGCGATCAAGTGTTGTATGCAGCAACAGCTAGGATGTATTATTCACAGCTCTGCAGGGTTGGAGATCAGCCAGAACAGGAGGCAGGAGAGCAGAACCCACCTGCTGCACTGCTGATGAGAACACAAACAATTAAGTGTGTCTTCCTGCAAGTATGAGAGCTACAGTAGCAGCCATTCAAAATGGCCCTTCCCAGTCAAAAGCTAGCTGAAGGGCAGCAATATCTCCTCCAACTTCCAGCCACTAACCTTCTCATGGGCGTGCATATTTTTTTTACTGTGACTCCACCCTTTCAATGAATTACAGGGTCTGACCGGGAGATGTTGCTTCTCTTTAGATCGTAATCTCCACAAATCATGAACATTGTAGATGTTTAAAAAGGAACTGTAGAGGACTAGCCAAGGACCAGCCAGGGAGTAGCCAAGGAGCAGCTAAGGGGACTAGGCAAGGACTAGCCAAGGATCAGCCAAGGACCAGCCAAGGACTAGCCAAGGACCAGCCAAAGACCAGCCAAGGACTAGCAAAGGACCAGCGAAAGAATAGCCAAGGACCAGCCAAAGACCAGGCAAGGACTAGCTAAGGACCAGCTAAGGGGACTAGCCAAGGACCAGCCAAAGACCAGCCAAGGACTAGCCAAGGACCAGCTAAGGGGACTAGCCAAGGATCAGCCAAGGACTAGCCAAGGACCAGCCAAAGACCAGCCAAGGACCTGCCAAGGGGACTAGCCAAGGACTAGCCAAGGACTAACCAGGGACCGGCCAAGGACTGGCCAAGGACCAGCCAAGGACTAGCCCAGAAACAGCCAAGGACAAGCCAAGGACTGACCAAGGACCAGCCAAGGACTAGCCAAGGACCAGCTAAGGGGACTAGCCAAGGACTAACCAAGGACTATCCAAGGAACAGCCAAGGACCAGCCAAGAAACAGCCAAGGACTAGCTAAGTACCAGCCAAGGACCAGCCAAGGACTGGCCATGGACCAGCCAAGGACTAGCCAAGGACCAGCTAAGGGGACTAGCCAAGGACTAGCCAAGGACTAACCAAGGACCAGCTAAGGGGACTAGCCAAGGACTAACCAAGGACCGGCCAAGGACCAGCCAAGGACTAGCAAGGACTAGCCAAGGACCAGCTACGGGGACTAGCCAAGGACTAGCCAAGGACTAACCAAGGACCAGCTAAGGGGACTAGCCAAGGAACAGCCAAGGATCAGCCAAAGACCAGCCAAGGAACAGCCAAGGACCAGCCAAGGATTAGCCAAGGACCTGCCAAGGGGACTAGCCAAGGACTAACCAGGGACCGGCCAAGGACTGGCCAAGTACCAGCCAAGGACTAGCCCAGAAACAGCTGAGGACCAGCCAAGGACTGACCAAGGACCAGCCAAGGACTAGCCAAGGACCAGCTAAGGGGACTAGCCAAGGACTAACCAAGGACTATCCAAGGAACAGCCAAGGACCAGCCAAGAAAAGGCCAAGGACTAGCCAAGTACCAGCCAAGGACTGGCCATGGACCAGCCAAGGACTAGCCAAGGACTAACCAAGGACCAACTAAGGGGACTAGCCAAGGACTAACCAAGGACCAGCTAAGGGGACTAGCCAAGGACTAACCAAGGACCAGCCAAGGACTAGCAAGGAGTAGCCAAGGACCAGCTAAGGGGACTAGCCAAGGACTAGCCAAGGACTAACCAAGGACCAGCTAAGGGGAATAGCCAAGGACCAGCCAAGGACCAGCCAAGGATCAGCCAAAGACCAGCCAATGAACAGCCAAGGATCAGCCAAAGACCAGCCAAGGAACAGCCAAGGACCAGCCAAGGATTAGCCAAGGACCTGCCAAGGGGACTAGCCAAGGACCAGCCAAGGATTAGCCAAGGACCTGCCAAGGACTAACCAGGGACCGGCCAAGGACTGGCCAAGGACCAGCCAAGGGCCAGCCAAGGACTAGCCCAGAAACAGCCAAGGACCAGCCAAGGACTGACCAAGGACCAGCCAAGGACTAGCAAGGAGTAGCCAAGGACCAGCTAAGGGGACTAGCCAAGGACTAACCAAGGACCAGCTAAGGGGACTAGCCAAGGACTAGCCAAGGACTAACCAAGGACTATCCAAGGAACAGCCAAGGACTGGCCAAGGACCAGCCAAGGGCCAGCCAAGGACTAGCCCAGAAACAGCCAAGTACCAGCCAAGGACTGGCCATGGACCAGCCAAGGACTAGCCAAGGACTAACCAAGGACCAACTAAGGGGAC